AAGCCCTTGACCCCTGAGCGCTAGAGCGTTAAACCCTAAGCCCTCAGCTCTAAGCCCCTAAACCCTACAGCCCTTTTCCTTTCGGTCTAGTACTACTGTAGTCTTCCCTCTATTAAAATTCATACAAATCTAGGCCCACCCTAATGTTTTTAATCAACTTTCCATTGTAGGCCCAAAACCATAAATTTCCGGGGGCGGCAGTTTTAATATTAGGGGGGGGGGCTTTAATAATAGAGGGAAGGGATTATGTATGTATGTATGTCTGTTTGTTGTATGCATGCATGCATGCATGCATGCATGTATGTATGTATGTATGTATGTATGTATGTATGTATGTATGTATGTTCTTCGTAACAACCGAAGTACCTCCAAGAAGACCCTAGATGCTACAGCAAGCCATGCGTAGCCCGAAAGCCCAATCCCAAGCCCATAGATCAGCGAGAAGCACCCGTGAGAAGCTTCATAAGAGATTCAAACCGCCCTGAACCCTAAACCCTAAACCCTAAACCCTAAACCCGAAGCCCTTATAAAGCCTAAACCCAAAACCACCCTGCTTATGCACATGCCAGGGGCTGACCGACGAAGACGGCGTGTCCCTTGCAACGATGCTGGAGAAGAACCAGGGTGGTGACCTGAGTGCTTCAGGGTTTAGGGTTTAGGGTTTAGGGTTTAGGGTTTCTTTCACAGTTCTATAGCCTTCAACAGGGTTTTAGAGGGTCCTGCAAGAGTTCTATACGGATAGATGCAGGTATTGAAACCTTCCTATAAGAGGGGTCCAAGGCGAACCATATCTTTATAGAGGCCATATAGGGGTGTGTTTCATAAATTCCTTCAAAGCTGTGGTGACCTGCTTGAATTCCTTCTAGCAATCCCTCTAGCAACCCGCACAGCAACCTGTATGGTGACACATGTAGCAACTCTTCTAGTAAGCTCCTATACGGGTCTATGGTATCTCTAAGAGTATCCGCGGGCATCTAGGGCAGCCGGGGCCGCTGGGGCATGTAGCACATACCGTGTTGGGTTTCAGGGCTTATCGGGCTGAACCCCCTTTCCAAGCCTTGATAAATAACTACTATATAGCTTGATAAAGTACGACCCCAGCTCGTAGGGTTTCAAGGTTTGCATCCTAATTACTATAGTTCCTTTCACGATTCCTTCCAAGCATCCCATAGACGCGACAGTAATCCCCTCAAGCTTTTGTTTAACCTGTCTAAACCCTCTAAGTGCCTGGGTTTCGCAAGCCCTACACCTCAAGCTTTTGCCCCCGCATAGCCTGTCCCGAAACCCTAAACTCTAAACGCACGAAGGCCTGTTGAAGCTCGAGTGCGAGGGCAACAACCTTGGAGTTCAGTCGGCGGAGAAGTTAGGCAGGGCCTTGGGTTTTGGGTTTCAGGGTCGAGTTGCAAGTGGTGTTTAGAGTTTAGGGCCTAGGGCCGGCTTAGGGTTAGGGTTCAGGGTTTAGGGCTTAGGGGTAGGGTTTAGGGTTTAGGGTTTGTGGTTCAGGGTTTAGGGCTTAGGGGTAGGGTGTTTAGTTGGACACGGGAAACGAATGCCTTGGTTGCCAAATCTGCTGATACTTCCGTGGGAAGGGGTAGCCCGGCGCTTCATTGCAACCAAAGGTTGCACCCGAATGACCACAACTTAGCGTTCTTCTGGTTGACTCTTAGGACTTTAACTTTTGGAGATTTGTATATGAATTATGATATTTAGGCTAAAAGTTTACCTGCAGGAGGGGTTCAGAAGTCAGCCAAGAAAATGCAACAGCGCTTCCTTAACCAGATTTTAGGGTTGCAGGGTTTAGGGTTTAGGGCCCTAAACCCTAAACCCTAAACCCTAAACCCTAAAAGGGTTTAGGGTTCAGGGGCCGGTGGTTGCTTCAGATGGTGATGCAACGCTGCTAGGGCCAGAGGCATCGTGGGCTGGGTCCAGGTACGGTGATACGCCTTGGCAACCTTGCTTCTCGGATGTGATGGGTCTGTAACAAAGGGGCCTAAATAATTACCTATGCTATTTTTGGGTTTAGGGTTTAGAGTTTAGGGGGCTTAGGTCCTGATGATAAATAGAGTATAGTGGGCCCCCAAAGCCCTAGTCTAAGCAATTATGGCTTCTATATTAGAGTCTGTTTCTGGTGCAACACCCGTAGCTTGACTGCTCGAAATCTCGTTCTCGAATGCTTGAGCTGAATCCTAGTTAAACCCTAAACCCTAAACCCCTAAACCCTAAACCCCCTAAGCCCTACCCTGAACCCCTAAGCCCTAAACCTAGATCGAACCGCTGCAGCTAAATCTCTGCTCCTGCCGGCAGTTTGAACCTAGGTGCCGTAATAATTACGAATAGGGTTGTGGGCCCATTCTACTATAATTACACTCAGAAATGTCCAAAATAGTATTGGTAATGTTCTAGGCCCCTACATTATCCTTACATCTCGATAAGCCCGAAGAAGACAACCATTTTGAAGCTCGTGCAGGTGAAGCGCTGCGGAAGAATCAGATGCCTGCCCTTCTACTGGGGTGTGTGGGGGGGGGGTGGGGGTTCACGATTTTTGAGGGCTGAGCCCTGATGTCGGGGCCTTAATAATAGCCTATACTGTTTTTGTATACATTTTTTTTTTGGGGGGGTGGGGTGGGGTCCTTATTACAATTACCTTTATTCTAATGTCAATTGCGGCCGCTTTGGTTTTCACCTGACCAAGCCTCCTCGCATTTCTCCTGACCCCCAAGCGCCCGAAACCAATCTCAACATGAGGCTGTCATAACTGGAACAAGGTTTTGGGATATGTTGATTAGTTATACTATGTGACTAGAACTGGGATATGTTGATTTCTTGTGCTAGATGGCTACTACTCTAAACCACACTCGGATTATAGGGAATCTTGTTAGTTACTAGTCATTCAGACCTAAGCCGTATTAAATCCTAAACCCTTAATTCTCCATATAGTATGGAGGTCGGAAATAACACTAACTTGTCCCTGGAGTTCCCGTATAGTAGAAGAGTATGCCCTAACCCCCCCGCCCCCCCCTATGCCAATTATTGAGGCCGCTGGAGTGAACCAAAGGGAAAAGTAGTGCTGGGGTTCCCTATACCTTAAGCATGAGGGGAAGGATCTTCCAGCTTTCGGCCTTGCGGTTTGCAATATTACGCTTGATCTTCCAACTTTCGGGCTTTCGCTTTACACTCTTACGCTCGAAGCCTTCGGAACCCTAAACCCTAAACCCTAAACCCTAAACCCTAAACCCTAAACCCTTACCCTAAACTTCGGTTCCAAGGACTCTTCGCTCTCTCAACCTCGAAAGCAACAATCTGACTGCGAGTGGCAACGTGTCCTGGCTTTTGGCTCCAGCTCCACAGGGTTTAGGGGTTTCGGGGTTTAGGGTTTAGGGGTTTAGGGGTTTAGGGTTTAGGGTTTAGGGTTTAGGGCTTCGGGAGGGAAGTGTTGCAGATTTTAGGTTTAAGCAAGCTTAGGATCCTAAGCCTAAACCCTAAACCCTAGACCCATGTGAGGGGTTTGTTTACGGTTTGGACTTGTGTTTAACCCAAGGTCGAGGGCTTCTGGGTTTGGAAGACTACTTTGGCAATCATGCGCGCTGTAGCGCCTCTGAACTGAGAAACTTGAGATGAATCCTAAGCCATGAAGCTCAGACCCTAAACCACTAAGCCCTACACCTAAACCCTAAACCCTGAACCCCTAACCCTAAACCCTAAACCCTAAACCCTAAACCCTAAACCCTAAAAAAAAAAGAACCCCTAAGCCCAACACCCTGAGGATCAGAAAGGCATCATCAAGCTGGCTGAAGCTTTGCAGGTGCCGGTTCGAGCTCTTGGGTTGACTTCAAGGTCCTGCTTAGGGTTTGAGGATTGTGGTTTAGGGTTTAGGGTTTGAGGATTAGGGTTTGGGGTTTAGGGCTTAGGGTTTGAGGATTGGGGTTTAGGGTTTAGGGTTTGAGGATTGGGGTTTAGGGTTTAGGGTTTGAGGATTAGGGTTTAGCGGTTAGGGGTGTCCCTTCAGGAGTACCTGGACCCTCCGGAGCCCACATATCTAGGCTCTTCAGGGCCCAGGTAGGGCAGGTAGGCGTTAGGATGGTTTAGTGCTTACGGGTTAAAGGCTTACGTAGGGTTTAGCGAGGAAGTTGCTTTCATTGGTGTTACATTTTTAACCCAGGGGGTGATTTAAGCAAAACTTGATTTTGGGTCAAAGCACCTTAGAGCTTATATGGTACATTATGTGCCTAGACCCTAAAGCGGTTCATGTGATAACTGTAGGGCCGGAATGATTACTGAAAGGCCCTGGAATGGTCCAGGCTTTGCTAGGCCACTTTCAAGGTTCCTCTGTACAAGAGTGATGTAGTTCATGGCTGAGCCTCACACAGACTTCCATGAAATTCGCATACGGAAGTCATTGGGCTGAATTGTTCTACAGGGTCTGTTTCCCCCAAACCCAAAATCCCAAATCGTTGTCGGTCTGTCTTGCAGCCAGGAGAACAAGTCCTTGCGGGTGCTGCTGCTCTCAAAGAACGGAATCACGGCCCAGGTACATAGCTTTGCAATGAGTGGAGACAGCTTGCAGATGATCGCAGGGACCAACATCCAGTATCGCAACTTTAAAATCCGGCGTACTTACAGTATCATCGTCTACATCCCCTTGCAACTCTTCATGTTATAGTAGTGTACGGCCCGGAAACGTGTTGTTCAGACGGCGCGATTCACAGGCCCAACTGCAAACAGACCCGCAGCCTAGGGTGACAGGATGCCCCACGGAAGCCGTAAGCATATGTAAGCAGTATACACTATATCTTCCTGAAGCACCGATACGGACACGTCTCTAGCCCAAAGTACATACTCTTGCGGAATAGTAGAGGCGTTGTACTCCCGCTTCAATGGGATTATGCCACAGTTTGGAGGCTTTGTACTGTTCGGTTAACTTCTACACTGTTTTACAAACCTTTCTGTCAACTGTTGCGGTGCAAGGTATGCGTTGAGTGCACATGGGCTCGTAGATTCACGGTTACAGGATTGTACTGTCTGTTGTGGATTGGATCGCTCACAGCAACTTATTCTGGAACTACCAAAGCTATCAACCTCTCCATCTACCAATATTTCTCCGATCTGTCTGTCTCATGTATGTTTTCATTATGCATCACCTACTTTTGCATGTATATGACTGTATATGTATGCATGCATGCATGCATGCATGCATGTATGTGACGTGTGTATATATATATATATA